TGCTCCTCGATTCTTCCTGGTTTAGTCAGAGAAGGAGGCTGGAGAAGGCTGCTTTTGTACGAGATTCAATTGAAAAAGACTCCATACCTTCTCTGTAAATTCCTTACTTTGATCACTTGTTTTTTATACCTCTCCAATAATAACAACTACCTGAAGATTGCAACCCTTAATCTGCAAATATAGAGAGGGATGGGGCTTTGGAAAAGGTTCAGGAAAAATTTTTGAAATGTGCGTGTGTTTAAGGGCCAGTCGTGTAAAAAGATAAAGGCAATTGTGCAAGATTTTGCAATTTTGAGATGATCAAAGTATTTGTGATATTCATAGACATCCCCTGTGGCAAACATTGATTTGAGAAATTAGACTCTGAAAATACAGCAGATACAAACAGTTCCTCTAAAGATCACAAAACAGGTTTAAAAAACATGATATTGTTACAGCAATACTATACTAATACACAGGAACAGACAGTGATGCAATATGCATTCTGCAAACTCTTTTTATAACTGCTTTAAAATCTTTGTTAATAGATATCTTGTGTAAAATATCATGACAGAAAACTAAAAACTCCCCATTTAGAGCTACTCTCTACTATAGTAGTTCTACTCTAGCATTCCTTTCAGAAGCCCTGCTTAAATAGCAACTCAGAAAAGTACTCTTAAATCTCTTTGGTACTCTTTATCTCTTTGGGGATAAATTTATTCTTATTGTGGCAGTTTTCATTGTAGGTGATGAACTAAAAACATTAGCAGATGTTGCCCATTCTTATGCTGATACCCCTGGTCCAAGCTCACCTAATCAAGATAAACCTCACAAGTCACTGGCAGAGGCTGCCATGGCTTATCAGGAACACCTTAGTCCACCAAAATCACAGCCAGCCAGGGTGTCTGTGGTCACAGGCGAGGAAGAGGAAAGGAATGTGCTTCAGGTAAGAATTGTTTTATAAAGGAATGAAAGGTTAATTTTTGGTTCTGGCAGTGTTGTCACTGTGACTCTCATTCATAGAGATGCTTTAAGAGCACTCTCACCTCCCCCCTCCTATGCATTTTGCAGTATACAGAACATACAAGCTTTCGGTTCAACCTTGTTGAGCTGCATCGTTGCTGTACTTTGTGACGGCGATTAGCAGTGACAATTATTATTATCGTACACTGTAGGCTCTCTGGGGTACTTTAAGTGTAATCAGGCAGTTAAAGGTCAAAGAGTTTATGGAAATATTTTTGGGTGATGTTTTAACATAATACATTATAAGTTCATATATTTAACTGAGGGATTCACTGATTTTTCTGTAGCCTTTCTGAACCATTCCTCTTCTTGTCATATACATCTGTGTTTGTTGCACTACAACTCACTTATAAACTAACCATCTTGGGAACTGATGGAATGACTGAGGAGTAGATTTAATATGTGCAAGAAAAAGTTTTGTGTAATCAAAGGCCAACCTGACAGCGTACTCTCACATGTTAATATTTTAAGTTGCTTTCATTTCAGAGCAACTGTCGCTTGTTTGTGTTTGATACAGTAACACATTCTTGGAGGGAAAAAGGGAGAGGGATACTCAGATTAAATGACATGTGTCAATCAATGACAGAAGGAATTTTCCAGTCAAGGCTTGGTAAGTTATTTTTTCCAACCTCACAAGTTTTAATTTTTTTTGTAGACCATTTTTCACTATCTAGACCACTTGATTGAATGATATCTTTTTCCCCTCATTTCATTTCTTGATGCACTGACCTCTACTTAACACTACTCCACTTTTACCCTGTTTTAGTCATGCAGTATGTAAAACAAAAAACAGAGGATAAAACCTGGCTAAAACCAAGACAGAAACATGTCTTGTGTACTGATTTTTGCATGCTTGCTTTTTTGCTCATCTCATCTACCTTGCGTAGGCTATTGTGTTGTTGATGTGTTGATGTTTGTCTAATTTTACCATTTCAGTGATGCGAACACAAGGCAGTTTACGTGTTGTCCTTAACACTAAGCTTTGGCCAAAGATGACTCTTGAAAAAGGAAATGAGAAGAGTTTGCGAATAACTGCCATGGATACTGATAAGGATATTAAAATTTACCTCATAATGGTGAGTGAGTCGGAAATCAAATCTTAAAAGAAGGTCCAAACCACTAGTTTAGCTGCAGAAGGGATGGATAACATTATCCTACAAGTGACTTGATGTATGATTTAGATATATAATGACAAACGTTTTTTTCTTTCCTTTGAACAATTTGAATTATTGTATGTTGTCCTTTAGACTGTGAGCAAGCTCTCCCCCCCTGGGGGGCTACACCTGCGCCTGCACCTTCACCTGCACCGTCCTCCGCACCCACGCCCATGCGCACGCGCCCATGCCCATGCTCACGCCCGCGCCAACGCCTACGCCCACGCCCACCCTGTGTCTGTCCGCCGCGACAGAGCTTGCTTGAAATACATATGCGTTATTAACGAAGCGTGAGGTCAAGATGGCTGAATATTGGCTGAGTTCTTTTTTTTATTCTTATGGACCGAGACGAAGTCGAGGTCCATAAAAATGCGAAAAAAGAACGAGGCTAGGTTAATGAACGATTTATTATAGTGCAAAAAGATTTTGCCTTGGGAAGAATTAAGAATGTTTGTTTACTTCGAGAGCCGGGAAAGAAAGCCAACTGTGTTTGTAGCGCAACACACTCACGACAGTCGTTTCTGTTTCCTTTTTCTTTCTTTTTTCTTTTTTTTTTTTTGCGATCTCCTGCCACTTTTTGTGTCTCCATCGCCGAAATTGTCTAAGAATTACGAACTTGTTCTAATTCAATTTTTTCATGCGCGGGATCAATGCAGGCAAACCCTAGCGGGCAAGCTGGGCCCATCTTGCCCGCTCGGGTAGCAAATGTGAACACTGGACTCGCTTCATCTTTCCCAAGGGCGCTGCGAGCGATGTAATGAGTTAGCTTAAGGCCTCACTTAAAACATTTGGATAATTTAAATAACTTTTTATTTTCATTTAAATGTCACCGTTGAAAGGCAAGCTGTAGCTATTGAAATTGAGGAGCAATATACGAAACCGTTTTTTATTATTCCATATTTAATAAAGTAATTACTAGGTGTGTTTGCTCGGCCCCACTAGCACATATGCTGTGAACACTGCCGAGGGTAAATAATAGGTATTTTTTTCATTTTTATATATATATTTATTTATAACATAACCAAAGTAAAGCGCGCGCTCTGATTGGTCAATTTAGTGTCTCCTCCATTTGCCCATGGGTGTACGCTGCAGACGTGAACAAATGCAAAGACTATTTTTCCGCGCGCGCTTGTTTTTTCTGGTCACGTAAGATTTGTTAAATAAAAGGGAACTCTTTAGCTACAATGTATCAATGTTATGTTATATTAAACAAATGGTAAACACCACAGCGTACACTATTGAGTTATGGATGCACTTGGGAGGTTTGCTAAGCACTCAAGATGCTAGAGTCGCTCTCGGCTATCGCCACGAGCGACTCTTACGCTTCTTTCGTGCTTAGCAACCTCCCGCGTGCATCCATAACTCAATAGTGTACGCTGTGGTGTTTACCATTTGTTAAATATATTTTTTGTAAGCACTACTCCCAAATGACTTTCCCCGATAAAACAGCTGATACTTGTATCGTAGGCTGCACCGAACGACATCCAGAGGCTATGGACCGCAATTGACCGTCGTATCCAAGCGTTGAAACGTGGTGAAAACACCCAAACTAATGAAGAAACCAGCGTCCAAGGGACCAATGCAGATGACGAGGAGGAGACTAGGACCGAGCCAGATGACGAGATTAAAAGCACCGGACACGAAGACGACGATGAACCCGTCAAAGATCGATGTGAAGTTCCGGATAAAAACAGCAATGATTCGTGTCCGACGGGGGAGGGAAGGGGGAAAGAAACAGTCGCTGATGATGATTAAATATTTGTACACGTTCGTGGCTGTCTTACCTGAAATATCTGTTACGCTCTGGAGCCTTGTAGCTTTAATTCAGGATATGAAATTGTCCTACACGCACTGGAAATGTCACCTTGTGCTTTCAATGATCGACAACGAAACTGTTGCGTTGTTTGTTATTTTGATGTTTCCCAGAAGTCAAGGAGCTGCCGCTAGATTGTTTTTCTTGTTTCCTTTCGTGATCAAGTGGTGTATTCATGCAACAAGTTGTGGCGTGGCATTCCAGCTGCAAATGAAAAGACAACAGACAAGGGCCAAATAATTCCTGGTTTGTTGGTTTGTGGTACATTGAGCTGGCTTCAGTTTTCTTCAGTGCTAGTTTCATAGTATAATTTCTGCCATCAATAACTGATTGGCGCGTTAACCAGGTCGTCAATAAAATAATTTCTTTATATTGCCATGAAACTTCTGTCATGTTTTTTTTTAGGTGAGGAAGATCGCACATATCTCAGAAACATGCGACCTCCAGGAATACAGGGGCTGAATTCCTCGGAAATCTCTTGAACCTCGTAACCCTAATATCAGCATGCACACACTCTTAAATGTTTTCTGTACATTTCCTAAGGTGCTGAAAGGAGAGTTTGTGTAACAATCAAGAGTGATGTTTTCAGGAAAAATTAGATGCGTGTCACTCTTAGGGCCAGAGGATTTACAAATATAGAAACAACCTTTCACGTCAGTGAAGACAAGGAGAGGACCACGAAAATATAACTTCTGTTTTGGTTCCATGTTATCGTTGTCCGCTGTTCATATTATTACCTCTGAAAGTTCCTCCATTGCTTTCCGCCTCCTGAACTGTTTCAGTCCTTTTTTTTTTTTTTCACTCAAGTATACTGATTTTCTCTCAGCCAGTTATGTAAACTAAATCATTGGAAGTGAATATGAGTAAAGAGGATGAGTAATGACTCACTTTGTCGTGACTTGTCACCGCAGATGCCTCCCGTGCGTTATGATGCAAGCGTTAGGCATGTACAATTATGTACAATTAGCCCCCATACCACCATAGACAGGACTTTTTGCCGTCCAGATACTTAAAAGGCCAGGCTACTCAGCAAGAGTATCAAAACAACAAAGTGTGTTAGCCTAAGTCGCTGTAGAATAATTTGCACTTGAGAAAAACAAGTCCTTCAGTGAAAAGGAAACGTCAAAGAGAATGTCACAATCAAATAGAAGAAAAATTTGATATTTTGACACATTACCCGTAGAAATGGGAACGAATGCGTCTCACTTTAGGCCCACGGAAGAATTTTCACTCATCAATCGCGCAGCTGTGCCGCGTTTGTCAGGCAGATCACATCGTTCCTTACCGATAGAAAATCGTCATGGTCATTTGTTTGATGTTGTTATTCAGCTAAAACATGAAGACAAGGACATATATTCGTGTTTCTTTCCAAGTGATGACGATAGCGTCCTTTTAACTGCGTCCAAAGTAGAACAAACGACTTTTTTCCGCCATAATCGCGAATTTTCATCGATAAGATTATGGGACCTGAATCAGAAACAAATCAACACTGGATTTTTGGCTGACTTCCCTCGCTCCTTTAGGTCGTGCGATTTTTCGCCTGATGGCCAATTGGTGGTTTGTATTTTTAGCGAAGACTCTCTTGCGCTAGTGCGAATGAGATCCTGGAAAACTACCAGCGCTGAAGTTGTCCACATGCGAAGATTTTGGCGAAAGAGACGAGGAGTATTAATGTGTTGTTCGTTCTCCCCTGATGGTCGATCGCTTGTCGTAGCATCTAAATTGACAGGTGATTTAAATCATATCTGTATTATCGACATTGCCAGCAAGAAGATGGTCAGAAAAATGAAATCCGCAACAAACTCAAGCTCAAAAATTCGCGGGCACCCGCGATCATGTGTATTTTCTCCTGATGGTTTGTTCTTAGCTGTATCGTGCACTTCTGGACAGCTAATTGTTTTCGACACTCAAGACTTTCACATCCACAGTAGTCTAGACTTGGATACTTCCACATCGTCCACGTGTTTGTGCCTTCCATTCCGTCACTCAAGTCGTCGCACGCTCAGTTCTCACTTACAGTGTTGGTATTTGTTTGATCCTCGCTATGGACATAAGTATTTGACATCATGTCTTGAAGATGGCACCATTCAAACATGGTCACTTTCTGCAGATGAACCTGGTCTTACATGCATTCAACTTGCTTATGCATTGCAGACTCCATGGCAGAAAATAAGATCTTCTGCCTTTTCCCCTGATGGTACAATGTTAGCAGTTGGTACTTCAGATTCTAAGGTCTTGGCACTGAACTCAGAAAGTTTAAGTGTATTGTTTGTCCTCAATGCTCATCTTCAACCAGATGGTTTAAGAACATGGTATCAAAACACGGAAGTGTCTTGCCTGGCCTTTACGAGAACTTGCCAGCAGGTTGCTGCTGGTTACAAAGATGGGCGTGTTAGGGTTTGGCAATTGCCATTAATTTTAAATCTTCAGCACATGTGTAGATTGGTTGTCATAAATCATGTTCCCGCCCAAGAGATTCCAGAGTTACCTCTTCCAGCACATTTAATCAGATATCTTCTGTTCTCCCCCCTGAAGCAATTGTGATTCATGGATTTTTGCAGAAGGGTACTCATTGAAGTTAGCTTAATTGAAACAGACAGGAAAAAAATTGTGGCTACATGTATGTCAGTTCTACATGGTGAACCTTTAAACAATTTTTTAAGCTAAATTGTTATTTATGAAAGTTTGATTTTCTCTCTTTTTATTCACATTATTATTCAATTTACCTTTGGACTAGTGTTGTAACTTTTATTGATGTTGATATTTAAGGCCATCCCCCTTGGCTTGTCCAGTAACTGTCTTCAGTGTTAATTGATCTGTTTGGTTGATTGGTTGTGATCGAAAAGTAGTCTATATTGAAAAAATTTTGCAGTGAGATGTGCAAGCATAAAGACTTCACCATAAGCTTAGTGAACAGAAGATTACAGAAAGATGAATCATTAATTGAGGGGGTTGTTGTTGTATTGATCCTTTAAACCCTGAGGGTGACCAGAATCTAATTTCTCCTTACAGATCATGTAAATAAAGGAAATGATTGCCAACCTGAGGGGCTTTGATTGTTAACTCTTTCACTCCCAATATCTCATTAGAAATTCTTCTCACTCTGACATACAATCCCTATGAAGTCAGTGAGGAGAATTTGGATTTGGATAAACTTATAATCCCCTTATTTATATTTTTCTATTCTCATTACTTGTCTGCTTGATATCATATTAATGTTGTTGTATGAAGAAATTCTGTCTTGGTCACTCATGGGAGTTTAAGGGTTTTAATAAGTTCTCCTCAGCAGTACCAAAGGGAAAGTTTAGAGAACAGCATAGACCACTTTCATAAATGGCTGCCAGATTATTATTCTTTTGTTTAAATTTAAATTAGCCCTTCTGGCCTTGTTCTCCAGTACAAAATTCAAAAGAAGACATTACCTCAAGCGAGGCCAGAAGGGCTAATTTAAATTTAAACAAAAGAATATTAATCTGGCAGCCATTTATGAAAGGGGTCTATAGAGAATATGAATACTGATGTTAAGGTGTAAAGGGTTGAGAGGAAAAAAATTGGAATTTACTTTGCCACATTCAAGTGATAAAAAGAATACCTCATTTTTAGGTTTTTGATGACTGCCTAGATTTTGTGGTTGTATCACCCTTTAGCTCCCAGAAGTGATTAACATGTGTAGCAGCAAGAGGGGAGAATTAACAATCAGATCTTGGGAATTTGAGGGTTAGTCTTAGAACCGTTCTACTATGAATTAGCAGAAGAGTGAGTACACTAAAAGGACAGCCTGATTTCAAGTGATCTTTCAACTACAATCACTTGCATGGAACAGAGAAGATTTTAGATTCCCCCAGAAAATAAAGAGATGCTTTAAAAGGTTATATTTTTAAGGAAATCTATTTATCAAATTGTAATTATTCAAATTATTGATTGTTGTAGTACATCTTGGGAAATACTTTTACTCCTTGGAGTGGCAAGGTATTTTGATTGTTAACCTGGATCTGGGGAATTCCAGGGCACAAGAATTAAAATCACTGTAGTTTCACACACCTTTAACCCTTTACACCCTTGCATCAGTATGTTTATTCTCCATACTGTTCTCTAAATATTTCTTATGGTAATAACAAGGAGAATTTGATGAACAACCAAGAGCTTTTTATGAGGCTGGTCATTTCCTGTATTCTCATTACCTTAATGTTTGATTCAGTGTGATGCTGTAAGGAGAAGTTACCTGCTAATCATTCTTAGGGGTTAACAAGTTAATATCATAAGTCACAAATTACTCCTTAATTTTGGTGCAAAATTTCAGCGTTAATTTTTAATTTCACATGTGAAATTACAAAATTGCCATGGTAACATCTCTTTTATCTCGATCAGAGCTAAGATGGTGTTGAGATTTAAGATGGTGACCCTTGAAGAAGTTACGAAATTAAAAGAAGCAGCCGAAAATTATTAACAGGCACGAAGAATTCGAAAGGTATTTTTTGTGAAGAAACTCAGAAAATTACAGACTTAAACAATAATGTATACTTTAAATGAAAACTATAAATTTCTTCTTTATGTTCTCGGTTTTCTATAGAATAAACCAGTAAAAACAATTACTGTTGTGAACGTAATTTGTCACCCATGATATTAAAAGGTAATCAAATGGTTTTCTGGTGAAATTAGGAAATAGTTTCACTTGCGTCTTGTCAAAATTCTGATAATTTCTCTCGCCTAAAGGCTCGGGAAATTATCAGAATTTTGACAAAACGCGCGTGAAATTATTTCCTGATTACACATTCTAAACCCCAGGAATGACCAGCCTCTAATTTCTCCTTACCATAATATTACTGAATTGCTCATTAAGATCATGAGAATGAAGTACCATAGGAAATGACTTTTGTATATGAAAGAGTAGGGAGAATATGAATACTGATGTTAAGGTGTAATGACCAGTTGCATTAAATTTAGATGTTAGGTACACAGAGTAAGTTTATCAAAAGATATAAGCCATTCATTGAAATTCCCTTTTTTGGTTGTGAATCATATGATTGAATACCACTGTTGATCGGCTTGAGTGGAAGTTAGATTGAAAAAATAATATCGTAATACTAAGATTGCCTCTAACTTCTTTCAAATACCACTGAAATTTTGAAATTTTGATTAAAATTACAATTTGTTTTCTGTCATTCACCAAATTTTGGAAATATACATGAAAGAGGTAGCACGTAGAATAATTTGATGATGAATTGAAATAAACTCTAATTTTTCTACTTAAATTTATGATGGCATTTGATAACTCCACACAACTTCAAACTGTTTATATTACATGTCAATTATGATAAATTATTTATTTCATACGCTAAATACAGCAGGAAAACACATTTTGATGGAATAAAGTATTAAAAGTTGAAGTAATCTTGAAGTTGAAAATATTTCTTCAAAACTTGTGCAAGTTAATTATGGGACTGGCAACAATACATTTCTTCCTTTTCTGTTCATTCCCACCTTTAGTCACACTGTGAGTGCAATCATTAATCCAACACAATTGTTTGATTTTCAGTTGGGTTATGTTCCTGCCAGGTTGTGTGTCATTTCGGTCATTGTACACATAAAAACCCTACAGCACTTCCCCAGAAGTAGAAAAAACTGGAATAAAAAGAGCAGCAAAAATTGGGTGAAAATAAAAGCGTTTGACTTATCTATTAAGGAATATCTGTCGGTCTCCTGGGCCACCTTAATTTTTTGCAATTTACATAAAAAAGTTTGATATATTACATGTCGCGTACATAGAGTACTGTAGGTAAAAATCCTCTCGATTGTCTGACTAGGAGCGCAGCAACTTTTTGCGGAAAGTTCGTTTTACTTTCTTATGGCGAGAATCCAAGCAGATTCCTGTTTTGAGGAGAAATTTAACAGGTATATGGAGTTTGATTTTCCATTGATTGTTTATCTTCCCACAGTTGACACAGAAATACCCTGATTTCATCAAAAGATGAATAAAATTATTGGACACGTGTCTTCAGATGGACCCATTTGTATTTTTTACTTTGTACAAATACAAAGCTTTTTAACACCGTCATCTCGCTCTTAAAGTTACGATTGCCTCCTTAAGGCGTAAAGGTTTTTTCTATTGTTATATTTTTGTAGCGATTGAGCTCCCATCATTTTTTTTCAGACTCAATATGGGCGATGAACAGTTGAAGAATCGCATGCTTATGGCAGTGCCGAAGAAGGGGAGACTTTACGATCAGTGTATTGCATTACTGGAAAGAGCTGGAATAAAGGTAATTTGAACAAGGTTTGACACTTCAAATTCTCTGCAAGTTAAAGATTTTACGAGAAAGGGACCTCACAGTGAAGGTGGCTGAGTAAATTCAATTGCCGCTTGGCTGCGGTGACTGAGCGCCGTTGTGAGCGTAGCGGCCAAACTGCCATGGAAAGCATTAAACCGCTATGGAAATCTTTGAGAACACAAGTTCCACAGAAGGTGAAATCCAAGTCGTCAAATAAGTGATCAGAGTGTTGAAGAAAGAATAAATTTCTCCTTCTTAAAAACTAAAAGAATGTTTATGAAAAACGTGGCAAGATTTTATTATGTCTACTGTTCTTAGACGGTCAGTGTAAAATGTAGACTGCAGACTGCGGACTGCAGACCAGGGGTGAAATGCAGACTGAGGGTGAAATATTAATAATAGAAAAACGAGTCTTAAGGATGAAATAAAGAGTGTTTGTACCCGTAAAATAATGTCACGTCAGGACTCACGAAACACACAAAGGCCGCTTCATCTTATAAATTTTCGTGTTTGGATAACCCAGTCACCTTTCAGCAATATCAATTGACAAACCTCTTGATAAATTGAAGTGGAGTACAAAGACTGAATGTCTTTCATAAACTATGCTCAATACCTACAAGTTACTTTGCCTTGTTGTTGAGCTGTTGTGTTTTGCTTGTCTTGTCTTCCAAACAATTCCAAGGCCATATGAAGAATTTGAACCCTGAAAGAGTTACTTAGTCCCAGACCTATTTGGGAAAGCACAATTCAAAATGGCTGACATGAAAACAAAAGTAAGATGCATAGTATTACCATCAGTTTGAGTGCTTTTGGGAAACTTGGTTCAACAAAATGGGGAGTTCAAGAACTTGAGGTTGATAATATGTTTAACTAAGGTGAATAAACGCCTTTTGGTTTGAGTTTTCGGGATTTTGAAAAAAAAAATTACAGGTACGCGTAGGAACACTCCCAAGTCTTGTTTTTTATTATTGATATTTTATTTTACCCTCAGTCTGCATTTTACCCCTGATCTGCAGTCTGCATTTTACCCCCAGTCTGCATTTTACCCCCAGTCTGCATTTTACCCCCTGTCTGCAGTCCACAGTCTGCGTTTTACACTGACCGGTTCTTAGATAATAAAATCAATAAAACAATGGAGTGTATTTGGGACTACGGCTTTGTTTTGGAATGCCATTATTGAATAAAATCTCGCATTCTACTTGGTTAAAAAAGCGAGGTATTAAGCATGGAAATGCGAGTTGAAAATGAGGCTAAGTGATATGGTTTTGCAATTACATATAAACAACGTTGCATCCAGTGAAATCCATACCTTGTGGATGACTGGAAGTACCTCTACCCTCTGAAGAACTGCAAATGCAAGTTCACTGAACAAATCCTTTTCTTACAGTATCGCAAAAAAGCACGTCTGGATTTGGCTCTCTGTACTTCACTTAACAGTAAGTCATTGTCAAAACTCCAACACTTGCTCATCATAGATATTTATGTCATCTCTCATTGCGTTTTTTCCATCCTTTTCATTTGCTGATGAATCCAACACGCCACCTGCAAACAACTTCTTGCTTTGTCTAAATGTCATATATTTTTTCTGCTGGCACACAGGTGATCACAGCACATTCCAAAGGGGTATAGATTCATACAAATTCAAGGGATCTGCTTGTTTAAATGCAAAATTCTGTTCTTGGTTTAAATTCATGCAGCTTCAGCTTAAGGTCATCACTGGTCTAATTATGGCTGTGTTAACTTTTCAGTGGCTCTTGTCTTTCTCCCAGCATCAGACATTGCTCTCTATGTTAGTCAAGGAAGGTCTGTATCAGGAACTGCAGTGAAGGTTTTATGAGTTTAGTTCAAATCCCTTATTACCTTTAGACATTCACATCAGGATGCAAATTCTCTATCATGTTCTTTATACACTTCTTGTGATGGTGACAAGGAGAGTTTGTGGTACAGTCAAGAGTTTTAACTGGGAATGTGTCCCATTATCTGATTTGTTTGATCTAGAGGTAACCGGAGGCTAGCAATTTTGACCAATTGATGACAGAGCTCAAGACAGCATCCCTTATAATCTAATTTTTAAGATTTTTTATTTCCCTCCNNTTCCCCTCTAATAAGCCCTCCCTCTAATGAGCCACCCCCTCTAATAATCCCTACCTCTAATGAGCCATCCCCTCTAATAAGCCCACCCTCTAATGAGCCACCCCTCTAATGTGCCCTCCCTCTAATGAGCCTCCCCTTCTAATAAGCCCTCCCTCTAATGAGCCACCCCCTCTAATATGCCTCCCTCTAATGAGCCACCCTCTTTAGAGGAAGAAATTTATTAAGCCCTCTCTCTGTCAAGCTCCCCATCCCTCCCCCTCAAAAAAACAAAAAAATCACAATAACACGCCATGTGAATAAGCACATATATCTTATTAGACATTTTGTTGTGCAGTGTTGCTGAGTAGTTTTTACGAGTTGTGTGGTACTTTTACAAGCCCGTATGGCTAGTTGAAATACAAACAACAAATAAAAATACTTAGCTATACCACACAACAAAACCTCTAATAAGAAAGTTATTATCCAACACACCAAATTGTTATTTCAGTGTGGGTGAATTTTGCAGATATTTCTGGAGTATAAATATCGCATGATATTTGTACTTGTCTCGCGTGTTATTTGTACTCTATGAAGTACAATTGGATAATAAAATAAATTTATTCAAGTACTGTAATTTTGGTTTGTCATTTAAAATTGACTATGGTGATTGATTGATTGATTGATGTTATCGTGTTGGCATCAATAGAATACGGTATGTGGAAATTACAGAGTGTTGCTAAAAATATAACATGGCTGAACAAGGTCCATTGAGGGAGTTAGATCATAATATTGAGTTCTAATGTTAAGCTACCTCGCCCCAAATCACCTGAAATAAATAAGCCCCCCAGGGGGCTTATTAGAGGATTTATGGTAATTTAAGTACCCCTCAAAGTTCTACTGAAACGAAATTTTTGTATCTGAAATATTTGCTCTAACCTGTAGTTTTGAATATGCTGGTCATCATGAGATAATTTGCTTTGGCCAAAAAGAAGCGAAAGATATCCTTTTTAACTGTTCAAATCAAAAATTTTACACAAAACCATGTCTGGGCCCTGGTACCGAGCCAAATGGATTGATGACGTCACTGGTTGTGTTCACTCCGATAGCGTGGTTTATTTCACTCATTGTTTGTTTGTATTCGTGGGCGAAGGAGATGGCAGATATTGAAGTTTTGTTAAGTGAATCTTCTTCTGAACGAAGCGAAGTTGTTTTCAGTAGCGAAGAGGAAGATGGTGGCGTAAAATGGAGTTGACAGGCCTACACGACTCCCAAGCGTGTGTTTAGAGTAGCCTATTCAAAGTTTAGCCCTCACGAGTATGTCTTTGAGCGACCGCCCTCTTTTGTAAGATACGAGCGGCGGATTTTTGTATAGTTCGCTCAGTAGTGGTTGTGTTTCTATTAAATGCCAGTTTTTCATGAGAATTTGCTTTATGTGTGGCACTGAGTACGCACATCAGGGATTGCGTCTTTTTCGAATCGTTCGCCTTTGTAGATGTACAGCTATTTTTTTGACTGTCTCGATCGTTAAGTTGTCTTGATTGCTTTCAGCTTGCGCCACGCGCGCTGATTCGATCGTACTACAGTTCTTAGTGTTCAGTGTTCCAGCCGTTTTGGCTCGTTTTCTTTTCTTTATTTCGGTATTAAAACGACCGATTTCACGTTCATAGAAGCACATGATCGCCTTTACTGTTTCTTGCTCCGCGTTGTTAAGGATTTGCTTTATCTCATTTTTGAAATCCTCGTCTGCTCTTATTTTGGCCCTCGCCCTATATTGTAGGGATTCTGGGCATGTTCTGCTAGGCATTTGGTACAGAGGGATTTGTTCGTTATCCTCAGACTTGCCGAGTAGATCATCTTCAGTGGCGGTGTCGTATGAGGCTTCCATGTTTTCTTCATTCTCTGAATGGCATTGCTTTGGCCCGGGGCGTTTAGTAGCCCATCTGCCGTTATAATGTCTTTCGA